CACATGCCCCCTCCGGGCCCAATGCCCGGCACGAATTTTAAGCCGCCGGGTCCGGGACTTGAACTGTGGTCATCTACATGGAAGTCCATTGACATAACTATTTGCTATCTGCTGGTCCTGAAGATAATTCTTATGCTTAAAAATTAAATACAGTTTTATCTTAATTTGACCAGAGAGGGATAGATTTATAGAGAGAGAGAGAAAGAAAGCCACCAGGTCTGGGACTCAAACTATGGTCAGCCGCATGGAAGGCCAGCACTCTTAACCCCCATGCCACCTCCTGGCCCAATGCCCGGCACGAATTTTAAGCCGCCGGGTCCGGGACTTGAACTGTGGTCATCTACATGGAAGTCCATTGACATAACTATTTGCTATCTGCTGGTCCTGAAGATAATTCTTATGCTTAAAAATTAAATACAGTTTTCGGTTTGGTCTGTGATTGCTCTTTCTTTTTAAGAGTTTTTTTTGTTGTTGTTATAGGATGTGTATACTCACCAGAGAGACAAAAGAGAGAGAGAAAGTAAGAAATCATCCCTTAGGGTAGATGGCCACACTGCAGTCCCTTCTCCATTCTCCTGTTGTGATTTTTTTTTTAAGAGGTTTTCGCTATAGGGCGTGTGCTCTCGCCAGACAGGCAGAGAGAGACATAGAGACAGAAAGTGAGAAATCACCCCCCAGAGGGGATGGTCACGCCGCAGTCCCTTCTCCTCCATTCTCCTCTCGGGATCTTGGGCACACATGCACATGTGCCTGGCGTGAGTTTTAAGCCACTGGGTCCGGGACGCGAACCGCGGTCGACTTTGTGGGAATTCAGCGACATAGCCATTACGCTAACTGCTGGTTCCCTCCTATTGTGATTTTGAGAACCCATGCCTGGGACTCAAACTGCAGTCGACCATGTGGGCATCCAGTATCTTAACCACTTTGCCACCTGCTGGCCTGGCCTTTGATCTCTGTAGTCTGTTCTTTTTTTTTTTTTTCTATAGGGCGCGTGCGCTCGCCAGACAGACAGAGACAGAGAGATAGAAAGTGAGAAATCACCCCCCAGGAGGGATGGCCACACCGCAATCCCTTCTCCTCCATTCTCCTCTCAGGATCTTGGGCACGCACGCACACGCGCCTGGCGTGAGTAAACCACCGGGTCCGGGACTCGAACCGTGATCGACTACGTGGGAGTCCAGCAACATAGCCATTACACTAACTGCTGGTCCCCTGTAGTCTGTTCTTAAGAAATGACATTTAATGCGTCTTCTCATTCAGTGACAAAGCAGAGAAAGGAAAAAAGGCATAGCTAACATTTACTTTGAGTTTTAACACCATTTCCCTAATAATATTTTATTTAGTCCATAAGTTTGAAGAGGTGAAAAAACTTTTTCCATCTGACACGCTTGAATTTGTGTTTAATTTTAAATACTTGGCCAGGCTCTCATTTTCTTTAAGCATGCTCTTTTCAAAGTGGATGGGGGATGGTTCTGGCAAAAACCAGAAAGCCTATTAGACAGATTCTAAAAGTCACCAGGTCTAGGACTTGAACCTCAAAGCTGGCCTTGTGAGGTCTAGTGTCTCAACCTCTACTCCATCTACTGGCCTGTGATTTTGTTTTTATATCCATCTAGAATGAAATGTTTTTGGAGATTAGAATAATTCTCTACAGATACATGCATGGGTTAAATTTTCCTCTTTGATTTTTGTTATTTTAGGTGGTGCTTCCTACATTTATCTTAGAGAAGCGTTCCCTGCTGGAAATGTATGCAGACTTTATGTCTCATCCAGACCTCTTTCTAGCCATCACGAATGGAGCCACAGCCGAGGACAGAATGATTCGCTTTGTTGAGTACTACCTGACCTCATTCCATGAAGGCCGAAAGGGAGCCATTGCTAAGAAACCATACAATCCTATCATTGGGGAGACTTTTCACTGTTCCTGGCGGGTTCCGAAAAGCGAGGTCGCCTGCAGTGTTGCTAGCAGCTCTCCCACCCCAGCAGTCACAAACCATGCTCCTCTCTCAGAGGAGGCTCTGAGCCAGGCGGACTCAGACTGCTATATGGTGAGGTTTGTTGCTGAGCAGGTTTCCCACCATCCTCCAGTCTCAGGATTCTATGCAGAATGTGCAGAGAGGAAGATGTGTGTGAATGCACATGTCTGGACTAAGAGCAAATTCTTAGGCATGTCCATAGGTGTGACGATGGTCGGAGAAGGTAAGTAGAAACATCGTTCTTCCGTATTTAATATCACACGAGAATCTTAAATTTGGGGAAGCTAGACAAATGTTCATTATAATTTTGAAATGCTATTTGTTTTGCTTTTTTGTTGAAGTTCTTGAGCATATTTCAGAATGCTCGTTGAGGAATAGAGGAGAGCATAGCATGGACTAATATAATTTCTCTTTTTAAATGACTTTTTTTCTGATTTTTAAATATAACATTTTTATTGTTGAAATTTTGGAAAATTAGAAAAATATAAAGGAAAAAATAAAAGCATCTCTAATCCTTCCATTCCAAGATGAATAAGTTTAGTTATTAGTTTATGTGCTTTCTGTGTGTTTATGTTCGTTCTGTTTTAAAAAATTAGGATTAATTCTATATATATAGTTTTTTTCTGAGAGTTTTTCGCTATAGGGCGCATGCGCTCGTCAGACAGACAGAGAGAGACATAGAGACAGAAAGCGAGAAATCACCCCCCAGGGGGGATGGTCACTCCGCAATCCCTTCTCCTCCATTCTCCTCTCGGGATCTTGGGCACACACGCACATGCGCCCGGCATGAGTTTTAAGCCACCGGGTCCGGGACGCGAACTGCGGTCGACTACGTGAGAGTCCAGCGACATAGCCATTACAGTAACTGCTGGTTCCCATCTATATATATAGTTTTGTGTCCTGCTTTTTCTACTAAATATATTCCTTTCCCATGTAATCAATAAAACATGTATTTGGATGACTGCATAATGTTCTGTAAAATATATTTGCCATCAGGCTGGCAGGTGGTGTGATGGTTAAGGCACGGAACTCCCACCTGGCCAACTGCAGTCCAAGTCCCAGATCTAGCAGCTTGCTTTTTCACTTTCCCTTTTTCTCTCTACCTAGTCAAATTAAATATTAATAATAATAAAAACAAATTAATTAAAAATATACTTGTCATTTTTTATTTAGCCATTTTTCTCTATTTAAACATTGAGATTGTTTCCAAAGTTTCATTATTATGGAAATCACAAAAATGTTTTATTAAGAAATGTCTTCTAGGTAAATCTTTATGGCTCTTATATTTACCTAGGAGCTATAAATATAATATTTAAAAAATACATTGCTGGGGAACAGCAGGTGGCATGGTGGTTAAGGTGCTGGACGCTGATGTGTAGCCAACCACAGTTCTAGTTCTGGACCTGGTGGCTTGCTTTCTCACTTTCCCTCTCTCTCTCCCCCTCTGTGTGTGTGTCTCTCTCTGGTCAAATTTAAATGAATAAATGAATTAATAAAATAATTCTTTAAAAGAAAATATACATTGCCAAACTTTTAATTCTACTTCATTGAAAGTTTACAAGGACAAGCCTTATAGTCTACTGATAAAGGGCAGCTGGATCCCACATGACCAGCTGTGGTTTGAGTCCTGGCCTTGGAACCTTGAAAATTATACCAAATGTGTGTGTGCATGCCCCAAATCCTAATGGGATGGAGAAATTCAGAAGAGATTACAGTGTGACTGTGCTCCACTTGAGGGGATGCTTTCTCCCCGCCTCTCTCTGTATTTCTCTCTCTGGTGAGCGCAGGAGCCCTCTGGTAATTAAAAATTTTTTCTTTTAAAAAGGTTTTGATGGGGTCATTCAAGTGGCATGTGGTTAAAGTAGGTAGATTCCATGTGTGGTTTGAGTCCTGGACCTGACAGCTTGAAAAATACTCAAAGTGTGTTTTCATGCATGCCCAAAATCCTAAGAGGAGAGTGGAGGAGAAAGGATTGCAGTGTAGTCTTTTCTCTGGGGGTGGGAGGGGGGCCTCCTTTCTCACCTTATTTCTGTCTTCCTCTCTGTCTCTCTCCACAAAGTACTCACACACCCTGTAGCAAATTAAAAAAAAAAAAGAAAGAAAGAAAGAAAAGAAAAGGAAAGAAAGAAAAGAGAAAGATTATAAGGGCTAGCCAATAGTGTGGTGATTAAGGTGACTAAATCTCACATGGCTCCTTTGAGTCCTGGACCTGGAGACTTGAAAAACAGTGGTCACCTATGTGTATGCCCAAAATTTTGACAGGGTAGAGAGATGGAAGAGAGAGGGTACTGTGGTGTGACCATCCCTCATCGGGAGTTACTTCTTGCTTTTGCTCTCTCTCTCTCTCTCTTCTCTCCAGCAAGCATATTTGCTCTATGGCAAAAAAAATTAAAAATAAGAAAAGATTGGGGCCAGCTGGTGGTATGGCTGGACTCCCATATGGCCAACCGTGGTTCGAGCCCTGGACCTGGTGGCTTGCTTTCTCACTTTCCCTCTCTTTCTCTCTCTCTCTTTCACTCTGTGCCTCTGTGGCCAAAAATAATTTCAAATAAAATTAAAACAATTCTTTAAAATAAATAAATAAATAAATAAATAATGATTATTAAAAAAATACAGTGTTTTTTTGGCTATTACAATACAGTAATATCTATAAAATATTTGAAGACTTAATGAAAACATAACAGCAGACAAAAATACTACATTAATATTAAAGGTAACTGCTTATGTAAAGAATATTTGTTCTGAATGTAAATGTAATGATGTTAGCATAGCATAATTAAGACTGTGACTCTAACATTTTGAAATTTATTGTGGCCATAGAAAAAATATCCTTTCTTTCAGATTTCTTCATTTTTTAATTCTGTTATATCTTACCAATTTCTGAATAATTTTTTTGGAGAGATTTTTGCTATAGAATGTGTGCACTCACTGGAAATTCAGAGAGACAAAAAAACAGAGAGCAAGAACCACTCCCCAGGGGGATGGCCATACCACAGTCCCTTCTCCTCCATTCTCTTGGGACTTTGGGCACACATGCACACGCACCCTACGTGAGTTTTAAGCCATTGGATCTGAAACTCAAACTACAGTCGACTACATGGAGTCCAGCATTGTAACCATTACGCCATGTGCTGGTCCCACTGAATGATGTTTTAAATTAACTTCATCTTTTATAGTATTAAAAAGTACTCACATTGGGCCAGCAGGTGGCATGGAGGTTAAGGTTGCTGGATCCCACGTGGCCTACTGCATGGATTGAGTACTAAACTTAGTAGCTTGAAAATCACGTCGGGTGCATGTGCATGTATGCCCAGAATCCTGAGGAAACTAGAGGAGATGTAATTGCTGCATGTCCATACCCTGAGGGAATGATTTCTCGCTTTCCCTCTCTGTCTATCGAGCACATACATCCTATGGCAAAAATCTGGAAAAAAATAAAAGGGGGCCCAGCAGGTGGTGTAATGGTTGTGGCTCTGGACTCCCACATAATGAAACTCATGCCACGCATGTGTGCATGTGTGCCCAAGATCCTGAGAGAAGAATGGAGAAGAGATTGTGATGTGGCTATTCCCCTAAGGGAATGATTTCTCACTTTCTCTCTCTCTATGTCTCCAGCAAGTGCATGCACCCTATGGCAAAAATTTCTTTCTTAAACACAATCAAACAAAAAACAAGTAATAAAATAAGTAAATTAATTTTTAAAAAGGGTATCATTTCAATATTTGGTCTGGTGATGACACAGGAAATGAGCTTAGAAGTTTGTTGCTATGGGGCATGTGTGCTTGCTGGAGAGACAGAAAGACAGAAAGCAAGAAATCACACCCCAGTGGGGATGGCCACACCCCTTCCCCTCCATTCTCTTCTTGGGATTTGGGGCATGCAAACACCCACATCCAAGGCATGAGTTTTAAGCCACCAGGTCTGGACTCAAACTGCAGTTGACTACATGAGAGTCCAGTGACGTAACTATTATGCCATCTGCTAGTCCCAATAAATTCATTCTTTAAAAAAAGAAAGTAATATTTGTTTGAAAACCAGCACTTAATGTCTGTTGTAGCTTCACTATACATTAGAACTTGGCAAACAAAATTAATATTATTACCGTAACTATATAACTATATTGTATGATAGAATTACATTTTTTCTTATTATTTTTCCTCCTATAATGCTGTCTGAAGTCAGTGTCTGTGTTTTTATTTATTTTTAAAATGTGTTTAAAGTGTATGTGTTCACTGGAGAGAGTGCATGTGAGAAATCACCCCCCAGGGTGGATGGCCCCACTGCAACCTCTTCTCCATTCTCCGCTTGGGATTTTTTTTTTTCCAGAGGTTTTTGCTGTAAGGTCCCTGTGCTCGCCAGAAAGACAGAGAGAGACAGAGAGACAGAAAGTGAGAAATCACCCCCCCACACCCAGGGGAATGGCCACTCCACAGTCCCTTCTCTATTCTTCTCTTGGGATCTTGGGCACACACGCACACACACCCAGAGTGAGTTTAAACCACTGGGTCCAGGACTCGAACTGCAGTCGACTATGTGGGAGTCCAGCAATGTAGCCATTATGCCATCTGCTGGTCCCTTCCTCTTGGGATTTTTTGGGCATGTACACACATGTGTCTGGCATGTCTCAAGCCACTAGGTCCAGGACTCAAACTGTGAACTCAGCCATGTGGGATTCAGCTCCCTTGACCTACATGCCACTGACTGGTCTATGTCTTTTATTTTTATATTGGATATCTAGTTATTCCCAAAGTGCTGAAATTTATTAGTATTAATGATCAAATCTTAACATGATACAGTATAGCATGATTAAAGTTTTTATTTCATTTTTAAGAACTGTCAAAGGGAACTCTTTGTAACATTTACTGAACCCTGAACTCCAAAAGGATAGTAAGGTCTTAGTGGAAATAACACTATTTCCAGGAAATGTTACAAGTACAATTGTATATGATGTCAGTTTTATCCAAAATTATATGAAGTTTAAGCAAAATAATTACGTTTATTTAATAGGGAAAATATAACAAGGGTTTCTGTAGCTATCTTTTTCTTTTTAAAAATGTTCACGACCCTCCTGTTTTTTCATTCAGGTATCCTCAGTCTCTTGGAGCATGGAGAAGAGTATACGTTTTCTCTACCTTGTGCATATGCCAGGTCAATCTTGACAGTTCCTTGGGTAGAACTGGGTGGCAAAGTCAGTGTAAACTGTGCAAAAACGGGGTACTCAGCCAGCATCACTTTTCATACGAAGCCTTTTTATGGTGGCAAACTTCACCGGTAAGAACATTTTAATGATATTTGGCTCTTACTTTTCCACTTTGATCTTGTTTAACTCTTTATTCTTTTTCTTCTACTATGGGTGAAGTTGGATTTTTGTTTTGTTTTGCTTTAATTTGCCATAGGGCATGTGCTCTCACTGGAGACAAGAGAGAGAGAGAGAGAGAAAGAGAGAAAGCACCTCCAGGAGGACTGGCTATGCCACAGTCCCTTCTCTTCCATTTTCCTCTCGGGAGTTTGGGCACACACACATGCACCTGGTGTGTTTTTCAAGTTGCTTGGTCCAGGTCCCAAGTCACATAGTTGGCCATGTGGGATTCAGCTTCCTTAACCCCCATGCCACTGGCTAGTAGTTGGATTTTTATCCATATTTATTATTTTTTTATTAATATATTTCACCCTTTTTTTAAAAGAGATTTTTGCTATAGGGTGTGTTTGGTTGCCACAGAAACAGAGACAAGAAAGTCAGAAAGCAAGAAATCACCCCCCAGAGGGGATGGCCACTTTGCAGTCCCTTCTCCAGTTTTCTATTGGGATTTTGGGCACACAAGCACATGCTCCCAGCGTGAGTTTTGTTTTGTTTTAAGAGAAATTTTTGCTATAGGCCATGTGTGCTCTCCAGAGAGGAGACAGAGAAACAGAGAGTGAGAAATCACCCTCCAGGGGCGTGGCCACACCACAATCCCTTCTCCCCCATTCTCTTCTAGGGATTTTGGGCATGTACACACACCTGCCTGGCATGAGTTTCAAGCCACAGAGTCTAAGACTCGAACTGTGGTCAGCCACATAGGAGTTTAGCGATGTAACTATTATGCCATCTGCTGATCCTGCACCTGGTATGAGTTTTGAGCTGCCGGATCCAGGACTCAAACTATGGTTGACTATGTGTGAGTCCAGCGACTTAATCATTATGTCATCTGCTGGTCCCAATATATTTCTTTGGTTTTTTGGAGAGGTTTTGCTTTAGGGCGCATGTGCTCGCCAGAAAGACAGAGATAGAAAGCAAGAAATCACCCCCTGGTGGGATGACCACGCCGCAATCCCTTCTCCTCCATTCTCCTCTCGGGATCTTGGGCATGTACGCACATGTGCCTGGCGTGAGTTTAAGCCACCGGATGCGGGACTTGAAATGTGGTTGACTACATGGGAATCCAGCAACATAGCCATTATGCCAACTGTTGGTCCTCCCAATATATTTCATCTATCAATGCATTCCAAAAATTGTTATCTAGTTAATGACATTAACATATTTACTCATAAATTTTCCTGATAAAATAACTAAAAAGATATAGAATTTCTAACAAATAAATATGCAGACTCTGGCCAAGTTCTGTCTTTAAGGTGATTCCAATTTGGATGCAGTGGAAGCAGGTATTTGCTACAAGTTAGGGTAGAATTTTTTTTTTTTAAAGAATTATTTTATTTTGGACCCTGTATACCCAGCAAAACTATCTTTTAAGAATTAGGAAGAATAGGGGCCAGCAGGTGATGTGGTAGTTAAAGGCACTGGACTCCCACACGGCTGACTGCGGTTCTAGTCCTGGACCTGGTGGCTTGCTTTCTCATTTTCTCTCTTTTTTTCTCTCTCAGTCTGTCCCTCTTTGGACAAATTAAAATAAACAAATAAATTTCAATAAAATAACTTTTATTATTTTATTGAACTTTATAACTTTATTTTTAAATTTGATCAGAGAAGGACAGAGTGAGAGAGAGAGAGAGAGAGGGAAAGTGAGAAAGCAAGCTACCATGTCCAGGACTTGAACCATGGTCAGCCATGTGCGAGTCCCGCACCCTTAACCACAACACCACCTGCTGGCTCAGGTTGGAAATATTTCTAATTAGAAGAAATCATGTGGAAGCACAATGAAGCCTGTGTCTTTAGATGGTTTGGAATATCGAGTAGCGGCTTTGTTCTATTGTTACTTGTAAACTGCCTGGTCATTATACTCTTTTTCTTGGCTTGTTAGTCTTTTCAGTACTGGTCTACATCATCCAAACTAAATAACTTTCTGCTAGGACCCTCAAAAGGTTCCTGACGTTTTTCTTAGGTTCTTGATGTCTACTAGTCTTACTGTCCCTGAAATGAACTCATATTTCCTTTTCCTCTAAAATTACTATTGGAGAATACTATATATACAAAAATATACAAATGGATGGATTTTCACAAAATGAAAACTTGAGTTTCTTGATCTATATAGGAAACATTCCCAGTACCCAGAGACTCCCTGCATACCCTGTTAAGAGTATTTTCTCTCCTTCTTCCACTTTCCCTCCTTCTTTTCCTCTTTCTCTCTCTCACACACATTCTTCTTAGGTTAACACTTAAACAGTTCTCCGCTTTGGGTAGCTACTATCCTGATTTCTCACACTATAGATTAGTTTTGCCTGTTTTTGAACTCTGTAAATGAAATGATATACTACACTCTTCTTCATATTTTGCTTCTTTTTATCCAGCATTGTTTTTGAGATTTATCCATGTATACTTGTAAGGCCATTCACTTTATTGAGGACTGTATTCTTTAATGTGGTTATACCACAATTTATTCATTCTAATATTGGTGGACATTTGCATAGTTTTGAATTTTTGGCTATTATAAATAGTTGAAAGAAAACTATTTGGTGAACAAATGGATAATTTTTAAAAGTTTTTGCCATAGGGCGTGCACACACACCCAAGAGAAAAAGAGACAATGAGAGGGAAAGCAAGAAATCACCCCCTAGGAGGGATGTCCATGTCATAATCCCTTCTCCGCCTGGGATGTTGGACATACACACACGCTTGGCATGATTTTCAAACTGCTCGGTCCAGGACTCAAACTGTAGTCAGCCATGTGGGATTCCAGTGCTCTAACCACAAGCCATCTGCGAACCCCTATTTTTCTTTTTTTTTCTTCTATTGTATATATAAATTTCTTAAAAAAAATTTTTTTTTCACAAGCCATCTGCGAACCCCTATTTTTCTTTTTTTTTCTTCTATTGTATATATAAATTTCTTTAAAAAAATTTTTTTTTTTAATTTACTCATTCATTTATTTTAATTTGACCAGAGAGAGAGACAGAAAGCGAGAAAGCAAGCCACCAGGTCCAGGACTCAAACCGTGGTCAACCATATGGAAGCATCCAGCATCTTCACCATCACGCCACCTGCTGATCCCTGTATAAATTTCTATTGGGTTGATATTAGGAGTAGAATTGCTAGGTTGTAGGATATGTAAGTTGAACCTTACTAGATACAGCCAACCAATTGTCTTCAGTGGTTGGACCAAAATACATCCCATCCAGTCATGTATGAGACTTTCAATTACATGTGATTATTTTACTTCTTTTTATTTATTCATTTAGAACATAAGAAAAAATAATTCCGGAGAGCACATACACATATCAGAGAGAGCAAGTGAGCCCCCCATTGGGCCTGTTTATACCACAGTCCTTTTTTCTTCATTTTTTTTATCCCATCAGGATCTTGGGGTATGCATGCACATATACCCAGGGTATTTTTCAAGCCATTGGGACCAAGATTTGAACCATGGTTGGCTGTGTGGGATCTGGCTCCCACCACATAGTGCTTAAACATATGGCATGGAACTGGCCTGGCTATTTGACTTCTTCATTGGGAGACTGGTATTTACAAGTTTTAAAAGAAGTGGAGGGACCAGCAGGTCGCATGGTGATTAAAGCACTGGATTTCCATATGGCTGACAATGGTTCGAGTCCTAAACTTGGTGCCTTCACAATCATGCCAAGAACTGGAAAGAAAGCTCATTTGGCTCCTAGTATTGAATGGGCTTTGAAAGTATGAATTTCAAAACACTGAAGCAGTGAATGTTGTAAAAAATAAAAATAGAAACCACCTAATCCCTTTGAGAAGGAATCAGTATGGGTTACACTTTGTGATGTATTTCCACTTACTCCTCTCATCATAGTAATCCCAGGATTCAAACTTTACACTTAAAAGGGACTTTAGGAGTCACTAGACCAACAATTACTAGATATATACATTTTTTTGCAACATGCCTGACAGCCAATTTGCTCAGTCTGTGTTGGGATATAATTAGTACAGAATGCAGTGTATGAGGCAGCCCATTCCTTTTATTGTTGCTTTGTTTTCTTTTTAAAGAACCTGCTATTAATTTATTTTTTGCTGTAGGCACATATACTCACTGGAGAAAGACAGAGATTGACAGAGAGAGAAAGTGGGGGGTTGGGGAGGATGGCCATACTGCAGTTCCTTCTAATCTATTGTCCTCTTGAGATTTTGGGCATGCACACACATGTGCCTGGCGTGTTTCTGAAGCCAACTGGTCTGGGACTCGACCTGCAGTCCGTCACGTGGGATCCAGATGATTTAATTGCCACTGGCTGGCCCCCTATTTCATTTTAACACCCTCGTCATTTATATAAGATTAGAGACGGAGTCAATATCCTCATAACATTCTTGGATTGGTGAAACAATTCTTCAACAACTCTTCAGCAGAATGCTTGGGGGGAAACAAAAACAGTGAGAAATATATCAAATCCAGAATATTCCTCAGTGGCTGTTGGAAACAGAAACCAGTCCAGACCTGAGAGATAGCTAGAAGGGAAGAATGCAGGAGGGAGTTGAAGGCAACCCTATTCCCAGACAGAATGCCGCCAGGACTGCATGGTCAACTGGATGGAGCTCCAGGCCTGGGCTGTGTCTCAAGATGTTGGATGGCCAAGATATTATCTAAATACTAAGTCAATGATAGCTATCAACCTTGTACCAGGAATATAACCTACAAAGAACATCATGTATATTGTACATTATTCTTTATAGCAAAACTCGCCTACTGCTTATCTGATTTAATTTGGAATAAATGGGCTCCGCTCTAACACAGTCTTGCTTCTGCTCCAGCTTATCTGATTTAATTTGGAATAAACGGGCTCCGCTCTAACACAGTCTTGCTTCGGCTCCAGGAGAGCTTTAACCCCCTGCTTTAACCTTTTCCTCATCTCTTTTCTCAGTTTTTCGCAACACC